AAAAGAGTAGATCTTAAAAGTTCTCAACACAAGAAAAAAAGATATATATATGTGGGATATATGTGGTGCTCATTTCATTGTACAGTTGACCTTAAACAATGCAGAAGTTATGGGTGTTGAAAATCCACATATAATTTTTGACTCCCCAAAAGCTTAACTACTAATAGCCTGCAGTTGACTATAAGCCTTACTGATAACATAAATAGTTGACTAACACATATTTTGTATGTTATATGTATTATATACTCTATTTCTACAATAAAGTAAGTTAGAGGGAAAAAATATTATTAAGAAAATCACAAGGAAGAGAAAAATGCACTTACAGTACTGTAAAAAAATCTGCATAGAAGTGAACTTGTGCAATTCAAACCTGTGTGGTTTAAGGGTCAACTGTATATTATTATGTTGTACACCTGGAATTAATATAATATTATATGTTAATTATACCTCAAAAATGAAACCAAACAAAAAACAAATCCAAGTATATGCTATTTGTAAGAAATATACCTAAAGCAACAAATTTTTAAATGACAAAAATAATACATGAAAATAAACATTTAAAAATAGTTTCTGGACATAGTTGGTAGACACTTATTTTCCTTTTGTTATTGACTGGATAGCTAACTTTGATTCCAAAATTTGTCCTAGGAGTGCTCCAGAGTACAATATCCAGAATCTTTGGATGCACAAAATCAAGCTTTACTACATAGCAAATGTCATATGCTTTCAAAAAAAGCCGTATAAAAAAATGTGATTTTTTTTAAATGTTCACATAAATTTGGGTAATTAAATAAAGAACAATTTCTCCCTTTTTTTCTGGAAGGAAACATCTAGTGTTTCTTTTTTTTCCCCCAGTATTGTTACTTATTCCTTCCATAAGAAAAGCCTCTAATTAATCAAACAAACTATAATTTCTAACCAATTTTTACTTCTAATTAAACAAAAATCAAGAACAAACAAAAAAGTAAAATCCCACACCCATGAAAGGCATAACCAAAGCAGACTTCAATACTTGTCAACTATTTGGGAAAAGCAGTAAAATTTATTGTACTAAAGGAGAGGTTACCCTTTAATGAACCCCAAATTTAGAGAAATCATGTAGCATTCCCATGACTAAAAATAAATAAATATAAATAAGGAAAGAGATACATATATTACTAAAAATTCGAGTCTATTCTATTTAATTAGGAGTATTTTGGCAGAAACTCTAATAAACATGATGACTGACAGTGTGGCTTGGGACTGCAAAAAGCAGCTTTTTACCAAAGTTAAATTTCAACTGGTTGTACAATCACATTTAGTCTGGGAGCTTAGGATAAGGACTTAGGGTGATCTCACTGCATAGTCTGTGATTTTATGAAATATTTTAATTCAAACATTTGAGCTATAGTTTAGAGTATCTGTAACATTTTTAAAAAAAAACCACAGAATGTTAATTTTGGACAACTTTTATGAAAGTAAAAATCCTTAAAAAATTCTAAAGCCATAGAAAATCAGTCTGGATGTATTTTAATTGTGGAGAAAAAATAATAGGATTTTAAACTATCAAATCTATTTCTTTCCTATGAACACAGTATATATCTTTTTCCTTGAAACAATTTTGAAGCCAGTCAACACCCAAAAATAAAAATATTATTCCTATCTCAGTTGAAAATTTAATGAATCAATAATATTATCTTAGCCAACAACATGGTAAACTGCATTTTGACAGATATATAAAATTGATACGGAAATCATCTAAAAGCTTTGAAATATTGGAACTGAAGGCTTTCTGCATTTATAAATCAATGACCTTTGTGTGAGAGGGACTAAGCTATTTAAACCACTGTCGCATCTTAAAATCTATAACAAAAGGGAAAAACTACTAATACTAGTTTTTATTTTTTTATTTTTTTAATATAATTTATTGTCAAATTGGCTTACATACAACACTCAGTGCTCATCCCAACAAGTGCTCTCCTCAATGCCCATCACCCAATACTAGTTTTTAAAACTCACAACTTAGGGGCACCTGGGTGGCTCATTGATTAAGCATCCGACTTCATCTCAGCTCATGATCTCACCGTCTGTGAGTTCGAGCCCAGTGTAGGGCTCTGTGCTGACAGCTCAGAGCCTGGAGCCTGCTGCAGATTCTGTGTCTCCCTGTCTCTCTGCCCCTAACCTGCTTTCACTCTGTCTCTCTCTTGAAAATAAATAAACATTAAAAATTTTTTTAAAAAACCTCACAAGTTCTAATAATACAAGTCAAATTTGTCACTTTGCTGATTTTCAGTTTATACCTACAATATAAATTACAACTATGTACAGCATTACAATACCATCTAAAGGAAAACAGTGATGTATAAAATATGATAAATAGAATTATTGCATTTAGTGTCATTTTCTTAAAAACCAAAGTCATCAAATCCATTAATGTCATATTAAACATAAACAATTCCAGTTCAAATTAGAGGAAATGTATACCAATACCAGCTTCTGCCAACAAAAATAAAGAAAGCCCTCCAGTTTGTCTGACTTAAGTCAGATAATCATGGAAACAAAAGAATATTTAAAATTATTTTATCATTACGCATAGCAAAGGAAAGCATCACAGACTTCTTTCCTACCATAAAACTATTTACACCCATTTATTTAAAATTTTTTAATGTTTATTTATTTTGGAGAGAGAGACAGAATGCGAGTGGGGAAGGGGGAGAGAGCGATAGACACAGAATCTAAAGCAGGCTCCAGGCTCTGAGCGGTCAGCATGGAGCCCAATATGGGGCTCAAATTCATGAAACGCGAGATCATGACCTGAGCCGAAGTCGGCCGCTTAACCCACTGAGCCGTCCAGGCACCCCTACACCCATTTATTTAGTTAGAAACACTAGCTAGAAGAGATACTGGTGTATTCCATTTGTAATATTTTCTCTACAGCAAACAATTGCCTTACACTTGGAGCATGTTGAAAAAACTATTGCCTCAGGGGTCTTTTTCTTTCCTTTGAGTCTCAATCACTGAGATCTCGAGGTACTCTGAGAGAATCCTGGTGTCCTAGATGGTCTGATGAATGCATTAAAATCAAACACTGTGTTTTTGTACCCTTGAAAATACTCTTAAATCCCTCGAAATGTTGCTTGAGTTGTGGAGCTCATATTTCTCCTCCTGGCACTATGACATGTGAAGAGCACTTGTTATGAAAGCGTTGCACCAATTTTGTGTTGTTCCTTCTTCATCAGCCACTGTGCCTCCTTTTCCATTTTCTTCCTTTATTTTCTCTGTCTGCCATCTTGTGCTGCCTCAGAACTTCTTCCGCTTGCCAGGCTGCATCTTCTTCTCCTTCCCATGCGTTGGTATTTTCCTGCCAGGTATCCAAGTTGCCTAATTCAGGAGACTGACGAATAAAAGGCACATATTGTGTAGCTGTTAATCTACTAGAGAAACCTGTGCTACCATCTGGGAGGCCAAAATGTAATGGTTCTCTCTTCTTAATAATGATTCTGCGTTTTCCTTATAGTTGGTGTCATGTCCTGAAAATAGTCAGGTTCCAGTTGTTCCACAGTATTTTGTTGTGTCATCACATCCCCATTCCCTCCTTCAATCTACACTTGTGGGTGTATCTTCATCCCAGGACATCCACTCCTCAGCATCTGTCTGTTTAGGAACCGACAGATAATCAACTGCAGTTGGCAAAGTTATTTGGTCTCCACTTAACTTCCGTCTACTGCCAGATCTGCATGTTAATCTCTTTAGGAATGAAAATAGTGTTGTGGGGCAAGTGCAAACTTTAAGTAACTGAAACTGTGATAGCCATGGTGGGAATCAAAACCTGTCCCTCCCCCTCCCCCTCCCCAGGAGAGGCTCCCAGCTGCCCTGGTGCCAGGCATGCACACAAGGCCACATCTAATGTTTCTACACTAGTTTTAATCAAGATTTCAAAATATTTTAATGAATCTGAAATCGTTAGGCCACATTATTTTGGTGAGAAGAATAATGAGCTTCCGAGGATCAGTAAGAATTTGATCAAAAGACAGTTTTGTAAACATATTACATATCTTATCTTTGTGTTCATATTCATAAGACGTGAATGTCAAAGAGGAAACACCTTGAAGATTCTTGTATTTAAAAAAGTTTTTAAAAAGCTTTGATTCATCTTTTTAGTTTCAATCTACTATGATTCACAAGATCAATGCTGTTCTCCATGGAATATATTTTGAGAATCCATTTATCTTTATTAACTAATGACATTTTAATGCTAAAAAAGAAAAAACCAAAAAGATTGTTTTAATGACCCAATACCATGTAAGTGAGAATGCCTAGGAGATCCTGAGTGTACTAACAGATTACTAAAAGTAAACAGGAAAAATGGTAAGAAAAAGTAAACATTTAAAGTTAAACAAGAAGTTTTAATTTATCAAATTTTTGTTGTCAGTGTACTTAAATAAAAGACAAAACGAAACAAAGTAAAAAAGCGGATATCAAACCAAAAGTTGCTATTTTTTACAGGATGACTTGTGACTCACTTCGGACAGTGAAGATAACATGCCAAGAATTCCATCTGAACTACAAAGTTGTATCACAATCTCTAAAAGCACACTAGTGAATAAGTGATTATATTAACTAGGGAATGTTCACAAATCTGATGTGGTGTCAAAGTACTAAAGATTTTAGTCATACCTTCAGTGGTGACAGTCTTTGTTATGCCATTTTTGTAGACGCAAATAAAAATATAACAGGTAAGGATGGCATTGAAGAAGATGTAACTCAGCTCGAAGATATGCTGGTACTTTTATAACAAATTCTGATGTATTATTTTTAGAGTTCAAGGGAAACTTCCTTTTAAAAGCAGTTTCTTGGCTTAACAAAAGCTCTAATTCTCTCAATGGTTTAATGACACTGAAAAAGGAAAAGGCAATTGATTTTGTGATTAAGTGTATTTTGAGATGTACCACTTGTCGATCTCCAATTATGGTTAACATTTTGTCACTACCCCTCCCTATCTTTCTCTCTCTGTTTCACAGAAAAAATTATGACATCAGCATCCAAAGGAATTCTCCGTCCATTTTTAATTGTCTGCATTATCCTGGGTTGTTTCATGGCATGTCTGCTCATTTACATCAAGCCCACCAACAGCTGGATCTTCAGTCCAATGGAGTCAGCCAGCTCAGTGCTGAAAATGAAAAACTTCTTCTCCACCAAAACTGATTATTTTAATGAAACTACTATCCTGATTTGGGTGTGGCCATTTGGGCAGACCTTTGACCTTACATCTTGCCAAACAATGTTCAACATCCAAGGATGCCATCTTACCACAGACCGTTCCCTATACAACAAATCTCATGCGGTTCTGATCCATCACCGAGACATCAGTTGGGATCTGACTAACTTACCTCAGCAGGCTAGGCCACCCTTCCAGAAATGGATTTGGATGAATTTGGAATCACCAACCCACACGCCCCAAAAGAGTGGCATTGAGCACCTGTTCAACTTGACTCTGACTTACCGCCGTGACTCAGATATCCAAGTGCCTTATGGCTTCTTGACGGTGAGCACAAACCCCTTCGTGTTTGAAGTGCCAAGCAAAGAGAAGTTAGTGTGCTGGGTTGTAAGTAACTGGAATCCTGAGCATGCGAGGGTCAAGTATTACAATGAGCTGAGCAAAAGCATTGAAATCCATACATACGGGCAAGCATTTGGAGAGTATGTGAATGATAAAAATTTGATTCCTACCATATCTACTTGCAAATTTTATCTGTCTTTTGAAAACTCAATCCACAAAGATTACATCACAGAAAAGCTCTACAATGCTTTTCTAGCCGGCTCTGTCCCTGTTGTTCTGGGGCCGTCTAGGGAAAATTATGAGAATTATATTCCAGCAGATTCATTCATTCATGTGGAAGATTATAACTCTCCCAGTGAGCTCGCAAAATATCTGAAAGAAGTTGACAAAAACAATAAGTTATACCTTAGTTACTTTAACTGGAGGAAGGATTTCACAGTAAACCTTCCACGATTTTGGGAATCACATGCATGCTTGGCTTGTGATCATGTGAAAAGGCATCAAGAATATAAATCTGTGGGTAATTTAGAGAAATGGTTTTGGAATTAAAGTTTTCCATCATTTGCACACTTGGAGAAATTATTTTGATGAGCTATCACCCAAGTTTTGAGGATAAGAAGAGAGACAACATTCTGCTTTTTGTCACAATTTATTTTTATCACTCTCTCTTGGGTAACATGTATATTTTGATGGAGATTTTTGAGAGCTCAGCATTAGCAATCACTCCCTTTGGTTTTAAATTATCCTGTATATACCTAATTATGTGCACTGAAAGTTAATTTATTCTTTGCTACCATTTGTAAACATTGTTTTCCACATTTTGGTAGTTGTTTGTAATGTAAGTTTGTGATATGATTGTTGTTTCTACATTGGTCAGCTGTTTAATCTACTTGGGAAATGAAGATGCACACTTAAAATATGAAATATTTTCACTAAATATCATAATTTCTAGTTCCAACTTCGCATAATGTAACAAAGGAAAAGCATTGGTAATTGAGTTCTAACCTCTTTGACATTGAAGTGAACAAAGTGTATAACTGCCTCTATTTGATCTATTTTTTACCTGTTTACCACATTTTTTGTGAAGGAAAAATTATTCATGTAATGAATAAGAAAGAGACTGAAGCAGAACTGTTTTATTCAGGAAACTAGTAGACTTCTCATTTATTTTCATTAAGCTGTCTTGCAAATGCAGCTACCTGTTCTCATGATCTTAAGTTAAATTATTCAAGTATTTTTACATATCCAATTTGGGGGGACTTTTAGAACCTGGGAAATAATCCTGACAACACTTAAGAATATCTAAGACCGTTCTCTTCCCAGTCCTAACACTCATTATTATAATAAAGCAAACAATTTCCCCAAATAACAAAGGAAAAGGATGTGTATAGATAAAAATCATATTTATACATGGTACATTTATGTACAATTTTGAATAACATATCAATTTACCATATTTGTTCCCTAGCCCCAATATTTAAAAGTTTCTATTTGCCATACAGACAGTCACTTAGACAAAACATTTCAGAGGTTTGTCCTATCATTTAAAATAACTTAAATAAAATTATCATTAAGTTGTAAATGTAAGATGTTAAACATAATAAAAGGGGGGATCTATAGAAAACACAATGCTAACACGGAGTAAGATCTCAATGCATATTTATTGAATGAATCAATGATTGTCATTGAAAGTCATGGGAAATTTTTGTTTGTTTCCATGGAATAACAGTTCTAGCCTAGAAATATTAACTGGAGATGATGTTTTATATTTCATTTTAGTAATTATTCATATACAGCATACATGACCATGGCTATGAGGGCTTTACAGAACCAAAATAAATTTTTCATTACTCTAAGTTTTTGGAAAAATTCATCCCTGAATCTCCAGTTGCTATACAGCATTTTTCCTCTGTAAGGTTAAGGACTGGATATAAGCAGAAATTATTAGTAGGTGAGAAAAGATGGGATGTTAAGGAAAGCATTTCCCAAAAGACTCTTTAATGACTCTATTCCATTCAGGCCAAAAACCCAACAAAAGAATTGGGATGTTCTGATGACATCCATTTGGATCTAATTCTAATTGTCCTGCTACATGTCAACATTAGCAGTTGAACACAAATTCACAATCTGCTACATCAAATGAAAGTCAGATAGAGGCAAACTTCAGTTCAGTAAGTACTCCAGACTCCCTTGTGTAGGAATGGGCTCTCTGGAACACTAGAAGGATTGGAACAGAGGAAGATTCCTGCATTAGATGGAGAAATGTTTGATCCTCAAGTTCATTTCTTACCCATGTTGAACTGGTCTTTTGTGTCAGGCAACACCCTAACCAGAGATAAAGATGAGCAAGGTACTATCACTGGCCTATAGGAGCTTACAATTCAGTGGAGGGATACACAGAAGCTTTCTTTGAGCCTATGTTTATGCACATACTACTCTCAATGGAGTTGATTTGAGTCACTGCTGATTTAATGAAAATGAGGTAGCAAATTTCCCCAGTTGCTTAGGGATTTGACGTATTTCTGAGCTGCAAACTTTGTTTACTCATTTGATCCAGTTTTGCTTCCCTCCATATTATCTCTTCTAACCACACTGCATCAAGAAATAGTATGTTTGTGTGGATGCCCTCTTACATAAGAACAGATCTCCACCCACATTTATTTCATCACGTTAAAACAGTCTAATTCATATATTTACACTTACTTTGTTATCTTTTGGGCCTGTAAAAAGCATAGGGATCTAAACAGGATGCCTGGCTAACAAGTTTAGCAAGCATCTGCTTCTTCAAAAGCAGAAATGCATTCATTGTCATGACAACCCATCTTTGTTATGGTGGGTGCTCATGATTTCAAAGAACTGATAAACCTGAACACATCGCCTCTCTTGTCAACTATGAACTTGGTCTCTTTTGTAGACTATGATCACCTGTTGATAATGTGACCCAAGCCAAGGTAATAACACCAAGTGACTAACTGGCACATCTGTCTATTGAAAACCTGTTACCGACTCCCAGAAGTTTAAATTTTCTGAATTTGAAGTGCCAAAATGAACGAGTCAACTTACCCCATCCGTTATGGGCCCATTTATCCATAGGTTTTAGGGCTAGATGGCATTATAGCAATGTTTACATGCCAATTCCTTTATTCTACTTATGAGTAAATCAGATCCAGAGATAATATTTATGAAAGAAACATGTTCACACACACATATCACACACACACGCACACGCACACACACACACACATGCAGCTACTGCCATGGCCAAGATTGGAATGTAAAGGTGCTGTATCTTTTAATTCTATATTCTTTTCTTCGAATTCTCACCTAACAAAAGAAGTATGTTGCAACTCCTAAAAATGTGAATGCCTTATTGGTATAATTAGGGCCTGTGGAATGGTACACTCTATGTGGAAGCACTTTGACTTTTGAAAAAGTACACAGTAAATAAGATATCAAACTTGTTAGCATTCTTTCTGTCTTAAATATTTTAGGAGTTGTGCTTGGACAGAAGGAAATGGGCTTTCACCACATGTTAAGTGAAATGCAACCCTCACGATGGTATATGGTTCTCAGACACTTTTTAAATAAATCCTGTGGATTTTAACTCTTTTAAAGGATATCTCATGGTGAAAGATATTGATTCAACAAAATTAACTTGCCATTGGTTATAGAAACAAATAATTATGCCAGAGGATAAACTGTGGATATAAAAAGAGAATAAACCATTTAAAAAGTTTTATTCCAAAATATCAAAAATCTGTTACTTTCAATGGTCTGAATATTTAAATGTTAATTATTGTAAGACTTACTGGTAAGAATATATAAATAGTAATCATTATAGGTATTTGCAGTAAGAATGTATAATGAATTCTTCATACCCAGCAGTATTATACTCTGAAAAAAGACATGACAGTCATATTCTATGACAGCCATAAGTTTTACAATATGAAACAGCAACAGGAAAAAAAAGTTATCCTAGTGGGAAACCAATATCAGCTAAAATTTGTGCATGTACTACATAAGTCCTGATAATCCTAGAATGTGCATAAATGTTTTCTGTTGTGAGGGCTTAGAAAGCTTAGAGCACTTGAGGTGTGAAGTGACAGAATATTTAAGAATTATTTGCTGCGGCTTTACATTCTTGCCTCCAATTGGAGGTTAAATATGGAAAGAATAGGAAACTATACTATTAATATCTTTTTGCATGCCTATTTTCAAACTAGATTCCATGAGTCTTAAGGTAATCACCTAGAAAATGTCTTTGCATGAAGTAATATTACCAAAACAAGATTTGGGTCCTTTCATTATGACTTTGTGCTTAACCATATCTTTGAGTTCCCTTGAACTCTGATCTCATTTAGAGGAACTTCTTAATGAATTAATTCCAAGCAAACTGTTAGATATGCAGACTTCAGGATCTAAAAGATAAGCACAGTGCCTAAAACAGAGGAGGCAAATATTTGTTCAATGAATAAGGAAATTGTTTTGGGGATCATGCAGAATTTTTTTATGTGTGATAACAGTTCCAGCTTATTGACATCAGTTAGAGGTTGTATATGATATTTATTTCATTGTTCAGTTTACTGCTTAGATGCAAAGGAAGGCTTTATTCCTTCCAATCTTATTGCATTCTAGCACCCCAAAAGAAGTAACATCTCAAGAAAGATTTAAAAGGATTGGAAACATGTTAACATTATATTCAAATGTTAATGCCAACTGTTTCTAATAGGAAAGACACCTGGTATTTGAGGAGAATGTAAATGCAAGCACTGTGAAGGGCATGTATTTATTACCAAACTATGCACGGAGAGAAATCCAGTTTCCTTCCTCCCTAACTGCACTCGTTTGTATTGCAAACATCAGTCAATTCAGATGATATTCTTTTCAGGTTGTCTCTCATCTAAAGATTTTGTAGCATTTTGCAAATGGGCAAGCTCAACCAGTATCCAAAGTGGTCTCCCTCTCAGTAATTCATGTTGAATGCATCCATATTCATAAACATTATACACAGCAGGTAACAGAACAAAAATGAGAGAGAGCCTACTAAACCAGAAATATGAATAATGCTACACTGGGTTATAGGTTCAACAAACTATAGTTTTGAGAAAGCCACCTAACTTTTCTGGACCTTGTTGTTTGCCAAGTTCCTTCTGGCACAGTTATTCTCTCATCTAAGATCTAAACTGATATATGCATATGTTTGCAAATGAAATTCCAATGACCATATAATTTTTTGGAAGTAAATGTTTCAAACGGATTTCCCTCTTATTTCTCTAAATAGGCATTTAAAGTATAAAATTGATTATCTAAACTAATATATGGAAAAACTTAATCCAATGCTTGGAATATAGAAAGTGCTCAATTAACTAAACTTCTTCCTTTAACTAACTTCCCCTTCATTCTCTACCTCATCTTTTGCAATTCATGTACTCACTACCCACTAAGACCTTAACTGCCCATAGAAAAGCAACCATTTAACGAGCATTATTTTAAAATATTATAGATTTTTCTATATCACCCACATTCTTATTACAATAATCTAAAACTTT